AGAGAGAGAGAGAGGGGCAGGCAGAAAAGAGGGGAGAGAGACACAGGAATAAAAAGGGTGACTGCCCGATTGAAATTATGGCATTGTAACATTATTCTTTTCTTCAAATTGTGATTCCTCCAACTCCAAAACGGAGGAAAAACCATCGTTCATCGAAAAGACATCCGCAATCTTCATTTTGATCTATGCCTCGAACTAGATCAATGATATATTAATGTCTGTCAGTCTAGAACTTGACCTTGGCCATAGATCTAGAAGAACCTAGGTCTACCCTGATGAGTGAAGAGGGCGCTGAAACTTTCCCAAATCACTTTACTTTATATCCAGTACTCTGTGCGGATACTGCCAAGTCTAATCAGACGGGACCCAGATTATTTAGTAGTACATCTAGATCTGCCAGTGTGTTTAATTCTCACCTCAGGTTCCCTAAGGTCGGCCTTCAGCCTGTATTACTTATGACATCTTATAAAACATCTCTAGAATCTAGATCTAGATAAACAGGAAAGATGAAAAGTCCAACCCGGGTTGGAATAACAAAACAAAAATTACAAAAGCGACTATTTCTCCGAACGCTCGGGAAAATAAACTTTCTTTCTCTAGATCTGTACCTCCGAACGGTTTCTGATCTCGAGATTTTTTGGTTATTTGCGAGATTTAGGCGTCATCTTTCATTTTGCAATTCTGTGAGAACTGGGAAGAAGTATTTTTTGAATCAAATTCATTAAATTTCTAAAGCTAGAATCTAGAATCCAGAGATTTTTTAATCAATAAATGTCTGAGTATTCAGATACTTAGATTGTGGTTGGGGTAACGTTCCCAGACAAGATAATCTGACCTTCGAAACTTTGAACTGGGCCTAAAAATGCACAAAAACTACTTGTAATAATTTTGTCATGAACAGATGGTTAGGGCCTTCTATCTGTAACTATAATATAACAGTGGTTTTCGGTCTTCCATCATGATTTTGGAAGCCATTGAGTATAATCTAGATTAGATAGATTCTAGATCTTGTTTTAAAGTGGTTGCTCGTCACCGAAAAGGGAATAAAATCAATTGAAGAATTTAACGTCCTAAAGTATAAGATCACCCTAAAAAAATCCCTCCATGGAAACCGTTCCGAGAACGAAAAGAGGCCGAATATGAAAAAATGTTATTCGGACTCCGGTCCGGAAAAAAGGAAGTGTCTTCTTTCTATAGATCTAACGTTCAGTGCTTCCAA